TTTGAACTTTGCTTTGACAGTGTAAAAGTTCCATGCATCTGGAACAAAGCAATAATTTGTCCAATTCTGATGGTGAGGTCGAGTGAAGCTCACGTACCAATGAATTATAGGGGTATAAGCATACACTTTATCAAAACTTTACAGAATCACGTTTTTAGAAAATAATAATATTTTAGTAGATGAGAAAAATGGTTTCAAAAAGGATAGAAATTGCGAAGATCATATTCATATTTTGACATCTATTATCAGGAATAGAATATCCCATGATTTATCAACTTTTGCCGCTTTCATTGATTTACGAAAAGCGTTTGACAGTGTTGATAGAGACGAATTGCTATACAAATTACTTATTAACGAAATTAACGGTAAAATGTACAAGTCTATACAAGCTATATCTTGTGTAAAACTGAAGACGTACGTCTGAATTTTAATAAACTACACGATTGTATTGTTGATATATTATTTCAAGCTCTCTTTCTTAACCTTTATTTGTAAATGTAATCATTATTATATAAGCTGACTTATAAGTCCCCTGGGCTAGGCAATTCTTTGAGCTGCAGGTCACTATAATAAATTACTTATTACTTACTTACTTAATTATACAAAGACCTAATTAGTTTGGTGCTGGTAGAGGTGCTCTGGAATAAATTAGACCGAAAACCACAGAATCTAAAATCAAATGTATTTTCTGTAAATATTATAAACTTTAATAATGTGGATCACAATGTTTTCATGTTGTACATCTCAAATACCAGACAAATATTAGTTGCCAAGCTTCTTGTTTGGAAGGCTAATTTATTTTTAATATGTCTCTAATACTTCCAGCCAGCACACAGTAATTTTTTCCAAGTTTTCTTCAATCTGTGATTATTAGACATAATACAAAAACAAAAGTTTCATTTTATTAACATTAAATTAATAACTGGAAAGATATTATACTGACCGTAACCAATTCATAAATAGTGTAGTGTGAATAGTGGGACTATATCACTAAGCAGTAGATCATGTGCTATCCTGTGATCAATATTCTTACCAGACATGGGATTCCCTTATAGTTTTATGTTTGTCACTGTTTTTTAATTCTCATTCAGACAAATACTAGAAAGGTGTCAAATCTATTTATAAAATTTGTTCTTTATGGCAAATACAAAAAATACATACAAGAATTAATGTTGACAGCAATCCATCCTTGTATATTATTCAGGCTAGTTACTGGAGTAGTAAACGATATGAAGTGTATGGCGGAGTGTATAATGCTGATGGTAAAGTTGTACATCAGTTATTTGGTAAATGGACTGAAGGAATGTATTGTGGCATATCCGGGTCTGCCAAATGTATATGGAGACCAGGTAAGTCGCATGGGTTTCGATCTGGAACCAGGCCAGGGAAATAGGAGTGTATGGGCCAGGGTACCAGTGTTAGTATGTAGTAAATGTGACAATACAGAGAACCTGTGTGTAAATGGAATGAGTGTATTGGCCAGGGAACCAGTGTAGGTATGTAGTCTAGGTGACAATACACAGAACCAGTGTGTGAATGGAAGGAGTGTATGGGCCAGGGAACCAGTGTAAGTATGTAATAAATACGACAATACACAGAACCAGTGTGTAAATGGAAGGAGTGTATGGGCCAGGGAACCAGTGTAAGTATGTAGTAAATGTGACAATACACAGAACCAGTGTGTAAATGGAAGGAGTGTATGGGCCAGGGAACCAGTGTAAGTAAGTAGTAAATGTGACAATACACAGAACCAGTGTGTGAATGGAAGGAGTGTATGGGCCAGGGAACCAGTGTAAGTATGTAATAAATGTGACAATACACAGAACCAGTGTGTAA